TTGTAGCAGCCTTTCTGAAAGTTGATGGTTCAGCATCATCACTATGAACAGCCAAAAAGGAAAAACCTCCACCAAAGTAAGTGTCTTCAGCCAATTGGAGTGACTGAAGTTCAGGAAATGTAGCTAAATAGCCCTTATAACTCCTCTGTGGTATTGTACCACTCTTCAACCTAGTGACCATTGGATGAACAGAAGCATTATTGGATTCACCAAGATTAGAAGATATAGGAGATGAAAAAGGTAAAATTACCTCAAGCTGTGTATCATTGTGGACAGGCAACATTTGTGGTATACCAATAGAGCTAGGAGTGATGAGAGAGGAATCTGGAAGTGATGAGATACCCTGTGACAGTGATAAAGATTCTGAACCGGATACTTCATTCAAGGAACCTGATCTGTCAGCAGAATGTGCACCATGATCGGATATAGAGAGAGACATATCCTGGACAGCCTCACCATTATTTGTCCTCGGAGTATTCTGATCCTCTAGAACAGTAGCAATAGGAATCTGAACAACAATAGGCCTCTGAGTTATACTCGAAGTCTTTGAACTGTCACTGACCTTAGTACTGTGCAAGATCGTATATGGAAAGACTGATTCATCATGAATTACATGCCTGGATAAAATCATCTTCCTTGTTTCCACATTGTAGCATACAACACCCTTATATCCCAAAGCATAACCAAGGAAAACACATTGAGCAGACCTTGCTTGCAGTTTATTAGCATTATAAGGTCTAAGAAATGGATATACTGCAGTTCCAAAAACTTTTAAGTTGTGAATATCAGGAACCTTATCAAACAACAGTTGATATGGAGACTTCATTTGTAACACTTTGCTTGGCATTCTATTGATTAAAAACGATGCATATGAACAAGCATGATACCAGAAAGATGGAGACAAGTTTGCTTCAGACATTAAAGTCAATGCTGTTTCTACCAAATGTCTGTGTTTCCTCTCAGAAATGCCATTCTGTTGAGGAGTGTATGGACATGATATTCTATGAACAATCCCTTTTGATTCTAGAAAATCACCAAACACTTTACTCATATACTCTCCTCCTCCATCAGTTTGCAAACATTTAATGGCAGTGTTGAATTGATTGGATACAAAAGCATGGAACTTGATAAATGCAGAAACAGCTTCAGATTTATTAACCAAAGGAAATATCCACAAGAATCTGGAAAACTCATCAATAAAACTGATGTAATATCTATATCCTTCAATTGATACTTTTGGAGAAGGCCCCCATACATCCGAATGTACTCTTTCAAACATAAAAGTAACACTACTTTGTTTTACAGGAAAAGACTGCCTACACATTTTACTGGAAATGCAGGAAGTACATAACATCTGAGAAGAATCTAGACTAACTGGTACTTTGGCTGCTTTTAGCATTGCAGTCAATATTTCTTCAGAAGGGTGGCCCAGCCTCTTATGCCAAATCGCAGTCTTTAAGTAAAGCAGCAGAGAAAAGAAAGAGAGAACAAAAGATTGAATGATGATTTGTATATTTCAGAATGTATTGGAATACAAGTCTTAGAGAGAACCTTTCTATTTATACATGCTCATTTCTGTCTTAATCAGTTTCTAACAAACTCATAACCACCTTATATCTTCCTACAATCCCAACTAACTATCTAACTGACAGAATAACAACCTTGCTGATGTGGATTGCTGATGTGGATTGCTGATGTGGTATATCATTCAACAGTTTGCACACAAACAAAAAACTTACAGGGCGTATAATGTGCTCATAGATAATGTCACGGATCCTGCAAATGTTGAATACATCCTCAAAACAAACTTTGCAAACCATGGCAAGGTATGCTGTCTGACTCGTTAAATGACAAGTACATTATATTATTTTACCACATGTATATTTGAAGGGTGAACATCTTAATGATTTTATAAGGACAATATTTATGTTAAGTAATTACCTTAGTTATCTAATTAATAACAGAAGTCCCGATTCCTGATCTGCTGCAGGGTTGGTACCACTACGGCATTTTGTCAGATGTTTTAGGAGACCGGATCTTTGCTGTGGACGGAGAAAAATGGCTGCATCAAAAAAAGGTATCGAGCAATGAATTAACAACCAAAATTATGAAGGACTTCAGCAGTACAGTCTTCAAAACCCATGCAGCAAAACTTGCCCGGATAATTTCCGAAGCTGCAACCTGTAACAAAGCAATTGAGATCCAAGTAAGTTTGTCGTGTTTAAATACTCAAATATAACATGAATAGAATTAACTCCTTATATGAGGAGTTTCATAAGGAGATTAAATGATTGAAACCGTTTAGTTTTTAGATCCACATCATGCTAGCTATCCCAGCCTGTTTGGCTAGACTAACGTTAAAGGATGATAGAGAGATCATTTTTAAGAGGATTTTAAAGGATTTTAATAGTGATAGATTTGATAGGATTTAAGAGGATTAAAGACTCCTACAAAATTCATATGGATTTTTAAAGAATTTGAATGGATTGTGGTGGAAGGATTTGAAATCCTAGGGGGTGAGGTTGTATTCTTTTTAGTCTTGGTTATATATACTTTTGGCTCTCAAATCTCACAAAATCCATAACTTATTGAAATCCTTCAAAATCTTAATTTTTTGAATACACTTAGATTTGGATGGATTTTAAATCCTTTAAAATCTTTTAATTGACTACACCTAGATTTTAAAGGATTCTAAAATCCCTTAATTGACTACACCTAGATTTTGAATGAATTATAAAATCCTTTAAAATCTTTTAATTGACTACATTAGGATTTTAAAGTCTTTTAAAATCATCTCAAATCCGAGTTTGACTACACCCCCTAAATTTTGTAAATTATATGACGTAATTTTTTATGATTGAATTTTTATTTAAATGTTGATTAACACACTTACTTCTTATTGGTAACACATCTGGTTATAAATTTGGTCTAAAAGTGGTCTAGCTAACATTGTTCTAATGTAAAAACTACAAAAATTTACTTTCAATAGACTAGGGGCGAAGCTACAAAGGCACAAAGAGGTGCAGCCGCACCTCACCTCGCCAGAAAACATGCCCAGAAGCAATGGTCCACCCCTCTGATCCCCTTAGAAAACCTGCAACTTCGTGAGGAGTTCTTGTTGCTGTACAACGCAGGTTGCGTGCGGGTTTACTTTTTTTTTTCTTTCTTTTTTTCTTTTTCAAAATACCCAGGCCAAAGAAAGGAAGAATGGAGAGCTCCATTTTGCAGCTTCTAGAAATAGATTTTTTGGTCAGGTTCTAATGAAGAAAAAGAGGAAGGAAGAAGAGACTCTCTCCCATCCCACCCCACGCACCCTTTCAAAATTCACCCAATTTGTTTTTTTTTTTCCAATCAATTTGCACCAATTAGCTTGCTAGTAACATGTGCTGATTTATATTGGAATATTTTTTTTTTAAAAATTATTGTCCAATTAATTGGCCTACACTTTTTCAATGAATTTTAAGCCCCATGTTTGACACCTCTATTTTCTGAAAATTCATTATAAATTCATACAAACTAATAAAAAAATTTATCAATATTTTTATATATTATGTGTTTTATAATCAATATTTTTCATATTATATGCTATATACTAAATAGGTACTTATTTAAAGGATATATAATAAATTTATTTAAATCTGCCTAGTCCTGCCTAAGCGTTAAGTCATGTTCACTGTCTGATTAGCAGTTAGCGTCTTTTTAGAACGATATAACAAGAAACGGTGCTTAAATCCTCCGTCAAATAAAATTGTTTGTTTAAATCCTCCTTCAAATATTTTGGTTAGTCCAAATCCTCATTTGACCTTGAACTTAGATCTCGAATGGATGTCTACATTTTTTCTTTGACTTTTTACCCTTTTAAATTCTATTCCTCCTCCCACCAACAAGGAACTAGCTATCCTCTAGTTTAAACTAGCAAAACGGACTGTTGCTGGTTAAATCTGAAGAAGTTGAGATTTCACTATAAAACCAATTGGCTATATGAGGAGTTGCCCAACCAAATGGACTGTTGTTGGTTAAATCTGAAGAAGTTTAGGTTCTATTATAAAACCAATTGGCTATATGGAGAGTAACCCAACCTTTTATAAGCCCATGCAAGGTCCTTCCTTCCATCAATGTGAGACTCATTCAACATGCCCCTTCATGTGTGACAAATTTTTAGGGTGATGTGGAGTGCGTGTGACCATTTGGCTTCACACATGGGACAACCTGCTTTAATACCATGACGAAGTTGAGGTTCCTCCATAAAATCAATTGACAATATGAGAAGTAACTCAACCTCTTATAAGCCCATGCAATGTTCCTCCTCCTAGCAATGTGAGACTCATTCTCAACAAAATCTAACACCAAATGGAGAGAGAATTTAACACAAGTTAAACTTACAATAATATTAAACACTTCTTTCTCCTTCCTCCATCGCTTCCCTCTCTCAGCTCTCCCTCTGAACTCGATCGACAAGCACTCTCCTCTATTCCGTTCGTATCGATTCCCACCTCAGCAAAATTAGAGTTGCGATGAAACAACTCGTTTAAGATAGGATGAAGAGAGAGATGGCTCTTCGATTTTTGATTGATTTCAGGTGGGAGAAAGGAAAGGAAGAGAGACGGCAATTCTGGTGGTGGCAATTGGGAGTCCACGACTTTTGGATTAATTCCAACCCGGCGAAAGGAAAGGAGGATAGATGAGTGAGATAGAGACCCAAAAATAGGTAAACGGAAAGAGTGTGAAAAGTCGAAATAATAAAATAATGTAGGGGATGGATAATTAATAAAAAAAAAAAAAAAAAAGCTAGCATTGTTGGAGATGCTCATGCTAAACGATAGAAAATATGTGTTGCAAACAAAAACTCACCGGCCTTGCTTTCCACTAAATGCGCCAATCTTGTTCCGTACTATCGCGGAGGCATCCACACACTTCACAGGCTTTTACAGCAGTACTCTTCTATATATTAATATAGGTACTACAAAGTGTTTCTGCATACGTTCTTCACCATCCTCCCGACTGCCATGGATGTTCTTTCCTTTCCCTTACCTCCTCTCATAGCAATAAGTTTAGCGGTTGTAATTTTAACTGTGCTTGTGATAAGATCCCGTGCTAGAAGGTTGGGTGCTGAGAAGAAAAAGAGATACCATCCTGTCGTCACAAATTTCTTAAACACCCTCGTCAACTTCCCTAGGCTGCACCATTACATGACCGAGTTTGAACACAAACACAAAACTTACAGGGCGTACAATGTGCTCATAGATTACGTTGTCACCACGGATCCTGCAAATGTTGAATACATCCTCAAAACAAACTTTGCAAACTACGGCAAGGTACATTTGAAGGGTGAACATCTTAATGATTCTATATATAAGGAAAATATTTATGTTAGTTAATTACCTTAGTTATCTAATATATAACAGAAGTCCCAATTCCTGACCTGCTGCAGGGTTGGTACCACTACGGCATTTTGTCAGATCTTTTAGGAGACGGGATCTTTGCTGTGGATGGAGAAAAATGGCTGCATCAAAAAAAGGTATCGAGCAATGAATTAACAACCAAAATTGTGAAAGACTTCAGCAGTACAGTCTTCAAAACCAATGCAGTAAAACTTGCACGGATAATTTCTGAAGCTGCAACCTGCAACAAAGCAATTGAGATCCAAGTAAGTTTGCCATGTTTCAATAATAACATTTATAGCATGATTAGAATTAATTCCTTGTACATATGAGGAGTTTCATAAGGAGATCCAACGACACTGTAGCAAAACCTGGAGCACTCTGCAGTGAGGGTTAAATAACTGAAACCATTTAGTTTTTAGATCTCCATCCAAGAATCAACCTTGTAAAAAAAATTCATTAAAATCCAAAATCGGTTGACCATTTGATTATCATTATGAACATTCGTCTTTTAAAACTTTGTGTACGTCTATTTATTGACTAAATGATTTTGAGATTCGGTTAATTTTTGTAAAAATGATCCTTGAATGAGGTTCCTAATTCTTGTGTATAAATACAACACATATTTATAATTCTTGGCGTTTTCTTTTTGGGACGAAGGAATTGTTTATGAAAGCAACCTTAGACTCAATCGTCAAGATTCTTCTTGGAATTGAACTAGACACCATGGACGGAACAAATGAAGAAGGTACTCGGTTTGCCCATGCTTTTGATGTAGCAAACGAAATGACCATCTATCGTTATGTTGATTTCTCGTGGAAGATCAAAAGGTTCTTAAACATTGGATCAGAAGCACTGCTAAGGAAGAATATCAAAGTGATAGATCAATTTGTTTGTAACTTAATCAAAATAAAGATTGAAACAGATAATTCATCAGAAGATGAGCTACTGGCAGTGAGTAATTAGCCTTCTACTCCATGATTTGTTATATTAATTCCAGAATGAGTGATTAATTTAGTATAAGTAGCATTATTGTAAATGAATAATAAAGTTAGTAGTGTGGATGATTGGCAATATTGTCAGGTAAAGAAACAAGACATCATTTCAAGGCTTTTGGAATCTCAAGAGACCGATCCAAAGTACTTGAGAGACTTGATCCTTTGTCTCATTTCTGCCGGAAGAGATACAACGGCTAGCACTCTTACGTGGTTTATTTATATGCTATGCAAGCATCCTCATATACAAGAAAAGGTTGCACAAGAAGTTAGAGAGGCAACAAATCTGGAAGATAGTTCATGCATTGATTGATGAGGTTGCTGCCAGCCTTACTGAAGAAGCTCTTGAAAAAATGCAGTATCTACATGCAGCTTTGTCTGAGACACTCAGGCTCTACCCTGCAGTTCCACTGGTAATTTAGTATTTATCATCTAAATTAAAATGCATGTACGAATACTTCAAATACTTCCTCACTTTTTTGTATTTGAAACGTTATGTGTTACTTTTTAAGTATATAATAAGTTAATTTATGCAACACGTGCTATCATATGTAGAACGCGAAAGTTTGTTTAGCTGATGATACCTGGCCAGATGGATTTAGTGTCAAAAAAGGCAATTTTGTGGGATACCATGTTTACGGAATGGGCAGGATGAAATATCTGTGGGGTGATGATGCAAAAGAATTTCGGCCAGAGAGATGGCTCAACGAAAATGGTCTTTTCCAGCAAGAAAGCCCTTTCAAATTCACAGCTTTTAATGTACGTAAGAAATGCATGTTGATATAATTTTGATCACCATTAGACATGTTACATTTTTATTAAAACGCATGCACAAAGGATGATATTATTTCTGAAGATTTTGATATATATATATACACACACACTTGTCGTTCACGTACACAGGCGGGGCCAAGAATTTGTATAGGAAAGGACTTTGCCTATAGGCAGACAAAGCTCATCTGTGCCGTGCTTTTAGGGTGCTACAAATTCAAGCTGAGTGAAGAGAAGAAAGTGGCCCATTACTTGACCAAAATCAGCTTCCATATAGACGGGGGACTTTATGTGCATGCTTCTCCAAGACCTTAATTAGATGCCTTAAATATATTTTCCTTCCCATGCAATTTGTCTTTTTAAAATTATTATTATTAGAATAGTTTATGAGAAGAGTGGTTTCGAATCAGAAACACATGAGTGAAAATTCAACAATCTATCAACTAGATTGAACCACATGCATCTGCCTAATATATGAGAGAATACTATTGTATTTAATAATTAAAAAAGAGTTATTACAATGAAGCCTTCTTTACGTATTTGATGATCACAATTGTAAGTCCTATGATTATATACTCAATCGTTATATCACAATAAATAAATAAAAAAAAAAAACTACAGTGCTGGTTACATTCACAAAGTCATTTTGGTTATAAAAAATTAATTTTGCAATATATGATATTTTTGTTTTCATTTAAATTTTGAATTATTGGGTATTTGTAAACACAAGGAACAAAATAATGATCATCTGACTAGGGGGAAATTCCTATTAGTTGTGGAGTGAGGAATTTAGTTTTGTCGTAATATGAATGGCGTGGCGGTTAATGTTTTCCTCCTCTGTCTGGTTTTTCAATTTCTTGCTATATCCCACAGTGAGGAAATAGACTACAGCGATATATGCGCACTCTGAACTGAGGAAACAGACTATAGCGATATATGCGCACTTTGAACTGAGGAAACATTTCATCGCTAAATGGTCAACAACAACCATATTTTCCTCGCCGTAGGCTTCTTCCCAAGGGCTGTATGAAACATGTTCCTCGGGCAGTTTTTCCCCCCAAGGGCCCTAGCCGCCTACGATCTAGCGAGGAAACGTTTAATTGTTCAATCATTTCTACGACAATTTTTCAATTTTTAGCAACGAATTATGTTCTTGCTAAAAGGTTTTTGAATAATAAAAAACAGTGTTTTTTTTTCTTTTGTAATAAAAATATATTAGTTTTATAGTGCTTGTTTACCAGCTGATAAATTGACATATTAATGGTGAACATGGAGAGGAAATAATGATGGAGAAAAGAAAGGAGAGGAAAGGCTGTCCAACTTTTCCTTCTTTATTGAGAGATTTACAAGTACGTATATATAGGAATGTTTTAATAAGACATTGGAAATAAAGATGTTAAGCATTTGGTATTAAAACTCTTGAGCAATAATAATAATAAATTGCAAGAGTAACCGCCATAACAAAATTGGTTGATTGAGGCTACCAACTACAACGGCTAGAATTGGATCTTGATCGGAGCCATCTTTAATATCATTAACAGAGAATTAAGATGCCACAATAAATCTATAGATGTCAAACATCGGTAATATTTTGAAATACCCAATTAAAACTCCAACAGAATACATTTTGGCCTAGCTCATAACAGAAGCAATGGAAACATAGAAATGCAAGGCCATGCCTATCATGATATCATCCTCTACCAAACTCAGAGTTCTCATAGGGAGGTTCATCCAAGATGTGAACTCCATCTCTTTCGCATGTTCCAAACGATAATCTGCATCAAAATTAGAGTATATTTATTATAAGCATGAAGTTACACTGCAATTCAAGAGACTGTTTGAAAGATTTTTCAAATCGATGTAAACATCAGTTAGGTGAAAAAATATACGTAAATATCAGTTAGATTTAGAATTCCGGAAAAAGAATTCGGTTAGCATCGGCATGCATTTGGGCTTTTTATCCTGTCATAATATTTTGGTTTTTTCATATATGAAGCTGTATGGGAAGGCTATTGATACAACAAAGTGGTTCTTATCACCATCCCCACTATCCCCACTTAGGGTGGTCATGGATTTTTCTTTCCACTCTCATGGCAACAAGTGTAGCACTGGTAAATTTAGCTATAGTTACAGTCAGTTGGGTACCGAGAAGAAAAAGAGATACCATCCTGTTGTCACAACCTGCTTACACACCCTCGTCAACTTCTCCAGACTGCACGATTAATTTATCATTGACCATGCACACAAACACAAAACTTTAAGGTGTCTTAGCTTGATTGTAAATTATGTTTACACCGTTGATTTTGCAAATGCTGAATACATTTCAAAACAAACTTTGCAAACTATAGCAGGGCATGTACGTAGCAACTTATTGTTGGAGTTTTGAGACTCCATGTCCCACATCGGGGAACATAGGTTTCCCGAGGCCATTTATATATGTTTGGGTAAATTACATAGTAGCCCCTCAGGTTTGAGGTCTATTACAACCTCATACAACATCTTTAAAACATTTCACTTTCATACCTCACGTTCTATTTTATTTCAAAATAATACCTCTGTTACATTTTCCATCCATTGATCAGTTAAGTGCTGACGTGGCTGCCACATTTGTGCCACGTGGTTGCCAAATGTGTGCCACGTGGCAAAAAAATAATTTAAAAAAAAAAAAAAAAAACCTGAAAACTTGAAACCCATATCCCATTATCCCCCAACCCCTGAACCTTGGAAGAAGAAGGGAAAAAAAAAAACCAAAAAAGAAGAAACCCCCACCCCGTGAACCCCCCAAACCAGAAACCCAGAAAGAAGAAATCCCCCCACCACCACGCCACCCCCCACCCCTCGATCCACCTCACCCAGAACCTCCCATTCACATTTATCTCCCTTCATTTTCCTCACCATCAAAGCGCAAAAGGGTTTCTTTGGTTTGCTCGCTCTCTGCAACTTCAACTGATCATCCATGGCCGACCTCTCCAGCTCAGCCTCTCGCCGCCAGCTCTTCGTCACCACTCCGCCCCAGATCTCCAAATGTAGAAAGAAGAAATCCACCCCCCCCCGCAACCCTCCCTCCCCCACGACCCACCTCACCCAGAAACCCACATCCTTCCCTCCCCCCCCCAAAAAAAAAACCCCCAGTTCGTCCCCCCAAAATCTGCAAGAAGAAGAAGAGGGAGAAAAAAAAAGAGAAAAAAAAAGCCCAGTTCGCGCGAAGGTCGCGGGGGGGGGGGGGGAAGGGAAGTGGGTCGTGGGTCGCGGCGGAGTGGAGGGAAGGGAGGTGGGTCGTGGGTCGCGGCAGGGCCTGGGGGGTTTCTTTTTTTTCTTCTTCCTCCCTCTTCTTCTTCTTCTTTTTGTTGTTGCAGGTATGTGGCGGTAGAACAAGCAATTGGGTTGGCGGTAGGGGTGTGTAGAGGAGAGTGGAGGGTGTGTAGAGAAGGAAAAAGGGTGGGTGCGGAGGGAGGGAGGGTCGCGGGTTAGGGGGTGCACAGGGAGGGTCGTGGATGGGGGGGGGCGGGGGTGTTCTGGGTTCTGGTTTTGTTTCTGGTTTTGGGGTGGGGGGTTATCATTTCTGGGTTGCAGGGAAGAAGATGAAGATGGGGGATATGGGTTTGGGGGTTGCGGGAAGAGAGAGGATTTTGGGAGTTGCAGAAGGGTGGGGGAGGGGGGGGAGGAAGGGATCTGGGTTTTGGGATTTTCTAGTTTTTTTTTTTATAATTTTTTTTTTAAAAGATTAAGGTTTTTTTTTTTTAAAATTAATTTTTTTTTGCCACGTGGCACACATTTGGCAGCCACGTGGCACAAATGTGGCAGCCATGTCAGCACTTAACGAATCAATGGATGGAAAATGTAACGGAGGTATTATTTTGAAATAAAATAGAACGTGAGGTATGAAAGTGAAATGTTTTATAGATGTTGTATGAGGTTGTAATAGACCTCAAACGTGAGGGGCTACTATGTAATTTACCCTATATGTTTTGTCCTTTATACCAATATTTAGGATTTGGACCATTTGGTAATAGATTGAAGGTTTGGGCCTTATATTTGTGTAGTTAGGCTTGTGTAATATAGCTTAAAATAGCTTAATATTAATTAATCAAGACAATGACCTTGGGATTTGGAAGTTAAAATTAGTTAGAGTTCATTAATTTTAATTTCAAATTAAATTTTTCATTAACATATTAATTAAAAACTGTTTTGATTAAGAGACACAGCTTTTTGAAAGAGTTGTGCACTTTCAAATACGTTCAACATATATTTGAATGGGTATAAAACAACCTATATATTCGTAGTCTCAGTTTCCAACCGAATCATTCTTTTCCTCTTCGTCTTTTGTACAAAAATTACCAAATAGTAAACACACAAAACAATTCGCCAAAATTCTATAATCCAGTAAGGGTTGTAAAATTAAATAGTTGTATCCTGGTCGAGTAGACGTCATAGAACCATAAGCACAAGAGTGGGACAAAAATACTGTTCCAAGGACATAACTTTTGCGCTAGCCTCTATCTATGATTCAATCAAGTTAGCACCGTTTTAATTCCTGTAATTATTTTCTTTATTTCATTATGTATTGCAAGTATTTTTCATTAAAAAGAATCAGTATTTTTGTTAGTTTATTTATTTTCTGAATTGTTCTCCAACACTTATAATATAGTGTTGCTTCTAAAAATGCTACTCTTAACTGGTTTAACTGATTAATTAGATGCCTTAAACATCCTTCCCTTCTCCTTACTGATCTTTATGTATTTCGGTATTTGATCATCAGTTGCGTGATGTATGATTATAATTTACTCAACTGTTATCTAACCAATAAAGAAGAAGAACTATAGTACATTTTCAGGATTTATTTATTCTAATATATTTATTTTTAATAAAACTTTTTTTTTGGCTTTTTTCTTAAATAAATTCATCAAGAATTTTAATTCTTACTATTCTTGTAAAATTAGAACTCAAAGTCATGATTTTAAAAAACCAACTTTTTATTTTAGCTTTTAATTTTTAGTTAGATGAACCCATATAACATATTTCTATACTCAACTTAAATTTTAAATGTGAATTGTTTTTCTTATCTATTGCATAATTACCATCAAATACACATTAGGATTAACAATAAAACTAAAATTTATCAATAAACTCATACCCAATTGTTAAACCCTAGGATCATGCAATGTTTATCCTACGTTCATTCCAGCTAAAATCCTAAGAGCTCTTATAGAGAAAACATGCTTTTATTTATTTATTTATTTATTTTTATTGATAGATGGTGATTTTGAAGTTTTAAATCCTCCAACTAAGGTATGAATTGATTTGTGCAACTTTTTTTTTCGGTTGATTTCAATTTTTTTTAGAGTTGAGAAGATGAGTTTTTATAAATTTCAATTCACAACCATTAACGTTGAAAGTTGAAAAGATGAGTTATTGTGTTTCGTTGTGTAAATGGTGGCGAAGCCTCCCCTACCAATTTGGTTTCCTTGAATCCACTCCATCAACATGGTTGAAAATCTAGGGCTAACCTAAAGAAACAAGGGTTTACTACCACTTACGAAAGTAAATCAGCATGTGGGTTGGTATCACTTACCTTAGGAATAATTGAAAATTGGTTCATTAGGAGGCAGCATGTAACACACAAACACCAAAGTACAAACAAATCAACAGCAGTAGGCATTGGAGCCATAGTGATGTACGCAACTCTAGTAACGGGGCACATCATCTCAAGAAATTCTATTAATTCCTATATTTCATAGCATTGTACTACATCAACTACGACGTAATGCTGTATTACATTAACGAAAGCACGCCATACTGCTTTATGTTTATGCAATTTGGGATTAAAGAGATCAATTCTTTAATTAAAAATTATTTAATTGGAAATTTTATCTTCTAAATTGATGTAAAGATAACTTTACATGTTGAATTGAGTTTGTGAGTGTAGATTAGGTAGTAAATTTGAATTTAGAGAGATTATTTTTAATTAAAAATAATATGAGTGTAGATAATAATTTAAATGTAAAAAGAAGTTATAAGAGTTCAAATACAATTTTTCATATTTTTATTCTCAAAATTTAATAAACGCCAAAATCACTCGAAAAAGAATCCGGTTCCTTTTCTGTAACATCCCACATCGCCCAGGGGAGTGATCCTTAAATGTATATTCTCATCCCTACCTAGCACGAGGCCTTTTGGGAGCTCACTGGCTTTGGGTTCCGTAGGAACTCCGAAGTTAAGTGAGAGGGGGGCTAGAGCACTCCCAGGATGGGTGACCCACTGGGAAGTTGCTCGTGAGTTCCCAGAAACAAAATCGTGAGGGCGTGGTCGGGGTCCAAAGCGGATAATATCGTACTACGGTGGTGGTGCGGGCCCGGGAAGTGATCCACCCCGGGCCGGGATGTGACAATTGGTATCAGAGCCTAACCCTGGTCGTGGTGTGCCGACAAGGACGTCGGGCCCCTAAGGGGGGTGGATTGTAACATCCCACATCGCCCAGGGGAGTGATCCTTAAATGTATATTCCCATCCCTACCTAGCACGAGGCCTTTTGGGAGCTCACTGGCTTTGGGTTCCGTAGGAACTCCGAAGTTAAGCGAGAGGGGGGCTAGAGCACTCCCAGGATGGGTGACCCACTGGGAAGTTGCTCGTTAGTTCCCAGAAACAAAATCGTGAGGGCGTGGTCGGGGCCCAAAGCGGACAATATCGTGCTACGGTGGTGGTGCGGGCCCAGGAAGTGATCCACCCCGGGCCGGGATGTGACATTTTCCACCATTAAACTTAGTAACCATGCCGATCGCTTCTCATTATTAATGTCCTAGTCTTTTGGACCACTTCTGATCCCCGTTCTCACCGCTATGTCACCAAAACATGTGCCTATGGCCATCCACCAAAACTAAAGTCCCCAAAATCGTTTACCTTTTTTCATTTGTATTTTTTTTGGGGGTAAATTACATAGTACTTCCTTAGGTTTGAGATCTATTACAACCCCATACAACATTTTTAAAACATTTCACTTTCATATCTCACGTACTATTTTATTTCAAAATAATACCTTCGTTAAATTTTTCATCCATTGTTCCGTTAAGAGTTGACGTGGCTGCCACATTTGTATCACGTAACAATTTTATTTATTTATTTATGAATTTAAAAATAAATAATTAAAAAAAGTATTAAAAAAAAACCCTAAAACCCATCTTCCCCGACCCACTTCTCCTCCACTCTCTTCACCTCCCCTCCCTTCTCT